GAATATAAAAACAAATGCAGTTACAATTCTCGCAGTAATTAAATTTATCCGAAAAATAAAATAGAATTTATTATCCGTTAGTTCAATTCCTTAAACATTCCATTTGCTGAAAATGTGATTGTTGGCTGGTCTCCTCAAACACCCTGTCTGATTGACTCTTCTCCTCATTTGATGTCTCATTTCGCATTAACGAGTTGAAACCTCAATTCTGATTTACTTGAAATGTTTCATAATTTATTCGCTCAGAGTACTGAATTGTGCTTCCACTAGATATCACAATGCGGAGCAAGACGACCTTTGGCATTCCCTAACAGTGGCCGCTCATAAAAAGAACACACTCCCAAAGGATCTAACTGTAAAAACCATTATGGATACTTGGACTCTGCAAACTGGATACCCCGTAATCCACGTCGAACGAGACTACAAGAATGGATCGGTGGAAATAACCCAAGTAATTAAGTTCCCACTGTCCATTAAAATTAGAAGCTGACGCGATGACTAAAAATACTGGCGTGTTTTAGGAGCGATTTTTGAGGGACACAATCAAACTCAAAGGAGACAAGAAGCCCTGCTGGTGGGTGCCGTTGAGCTATTCTACAGAGTCGCACTCTGATTTTGATACCACTACACCAAAGTACTGGTTAAGTTGTGGATATGAAGAGAGTAGCCAGACGATTGAGGAGATTGGCCCTGAAACCGAATGGATTCTATTTAACAACAAAATGGCTGGTAAGCATTCAACGATTTTCTTGGCAGAAAATAATTAACAGCGACGACAAAAACATATTTTTATCTATAACAAAAATGCTATAGACCGCAGAGTCTGGCCGCTCAAGGATAGCGATAGGATAATATGAATAGGACAAAAAAGACTACCTCTACAGTTAATGTAGTAATGTTCTAGTAATGTTTTCGTGTGGTGTATCTAACATATTTTTTAACTTAGAATGTTGTACGAAAGAGATTAAGCTCGACTTCAACTTTTACTTGATGAAGCTAACTCGTATGTCACTGAATATGACGATAACGAAGATGATATCATTTTGAAGTGTTAATCGAGAATACCGATTCAGAACAAGAACAGAAATACGTGAATATTGTCAGTATTTTAACTAAATAATAATGTGATTTTTTTGTTTTGCTTTGTCAACTTTGTTAAAACTAGAATGACCTGAAAATTTAAAGAAACTTTAAATATTTTCAGAGCGATGTGGCCGGCAAATTTTCCAAATAATTATTTGAAAATTTTTGCTCCCTGGCCGTTTTTTCAAAATAATCTTAATTGCTTCCTGTAAAAAATCGAACAAAATTATTTGGTTTTTATGCCAAATTTTTATTCTAAAGTTCCTGCAAACCGATGAATGAGACGAATTTTCTAGCAAAATTAACTATATCATTTTTGGCTGAAAACACCCCAATTATTGTCAGAAAAGAAGGAAATTATCAGAAAATAATGGTTTTTTTGCGTTTTCGATTAAAAACTTTCAGTTTTGTGATCGGCTTGGGAGAAAACCTTAATGGTTTTCGGGGAAAACGGGAGCATTTTATTTTCGTTTTTGCCTCGAATTCGATGCTTAAAAAAGTTTTTGTAAAATCTTTACAAAGCTATAAATTTATCTTGAAATTTGTCGCATAAAACAACTCCAGTTCGTCAATATTTTTAAGTGAAACTCTACAAAATAGAGCGTTTTTGAGTAGAAAGTAAAGCAAAAAAAATCAGTCAAACCTAAAAAACCACATTTTTTTAACAAACTCTACAGTCTTCGGAGGAATTGAGGCGACGAGATTTCCAAATATGTAATCTGTTATAAACTTTCGCTTATTCTGTTCGTTTTTTAATAGAAAATTATTTGATTTTTGTTCCAAATTCGCCGCTGGAAAGGGATTTCCAAATTTTGTACAAAGCGACCAAGAATTCGAAATGTATTTCATAATTTTTCACGGAAAATACATTAAGTTTAGCAGCATTTTTAAATGAAACTTTAGAAAATTGAGCATTTGGAAGAACGAGTAATTTGACTAGAACTGGAAAATTCTGAAATTTTGAATAAATTTTAAAAATATCATTAATAAATGGCCCTTAAAATAAATCTAAAAACAAATAAAAAAAAGTCATCAGCATTTACCCAGCAACGTAACTGAGTTACTGCGCCGGTGCGTAGGGTTGGCGCACCAAGCCATTTGCGTAACACTGCGCCAACTCCTAAAAATTCGCTGAGTTACCCAGGACTAATCTATGTGCAGTTCATGTTGTCTGTTTTCCAAAAGCTTTCTAATTACCTGTATTTTTCAAGAAATTATTAAATATAGTTTGATATTGCTTTAGGGATCTACAAAGTGAACTACGATGAGAAAAACTGGCTTCTTCTATCCAAAGCTCTGAAATCAGACTTTACTAAGATCCCAACTCTAAACCGAGTCCAACTGCTAGCTGATGCAGCAGATCTAGGATATGTTGGCCATCAAAAGTACGACGTATTCTTCGATATGCTGGGATATTTGAAAGAAGAAACCGAATATTTGCCATGGAAGGCTGCTTTAGGAAAAGCCGACGCTTTGAAGAACTACTTAATCAGAAATCCGATCTATGGAGTGTTCAAGGTGAGTGTCAGTTCTGAACCAATGAAAATCAACAATTTCTTTTCCCATTTTAGAATTATATGACCTCATTGTTGAGTCCAATATATGAAAAACTAGGAGGACTGGCAATGGCCAACGAAGAGAATTTTGACAAGTTAGATAAAATCAAATTCCAAGTGTTGATTGTGAGTAGGAGTTGCAGATATGGAGTGGAGAAATGTATTGAAGATGCCAAAACTATGTTCAACAAGTGGAAGAGCGCTCCCAATGATACAAACCCGTAAGTGTTGTTAGTTGTCCGAAATGAATAACAAGTAAGATCAAGAGTGAAAACAGAGCAAAAACAATCAAAATAATGACAAGTAAAAATAAAAAACAGCGTATGGTAAATATGCTGCTTTCTAACTCCAAAATCCAATTTTGAGATGAAAATATAATAAATACATATTTTGAAAACGGCTTCGTTTTTGAGATAGAAGGTGGCAAAGTTACCATTTTATTTTTATTTTATAATTCAAGCAAATTTTAAGATACTGTAATACAATTTGAATGTACATCCCAATACCACATCCAATCATTGAAAATGTTCTTTGGAAATCTAAAATTGTTCAATTTCAGTTTATTACTTTGTTGTGCTTAACTTGCAATAAAAAAAATTTTAATCTCAAAAACTGTTACTCTTAACGACTTCAAACAAGAAACTCTTTCTTACATAAATATAAACGGAAAATTATTTCATTTTAAAATCGGATTGATATGGGTAGGCACAAAAAATTATTATTATGTGTCATGTGGGGCCCTCCGCAAATTTGACGAAAACTTGGATATGATTGGATGTGGCATTGCAATCAGTCAATTACAGTATTTTATGATTGGCGTGAATTATTTTTTAAAATTTAAATAAAATATTAACTTTGCCACCCTGTATCTCAAAAACGAAGCCGTTTTCAAGTTTTCAATATAAGTTTGTGTGATAATTTTATCTTAAAATTGGAATTTTCTATCGATCATTAGAGTCCTGCTATTATAAGCTGACTCACCCTGTATAATTAAGGGGGATTATATTGTAAATATTTTATGAAATACCGGGCGTTTCATAATAATGCACGACAAACTTTTAAGGGTGGTAAGGAGCATTAAAACAATAATTTCTTAATAAAATCGTTTTCGACTCATAGGGTGTTGAAATTAAGTAAAATAAAAAAAATAAAAATAAGTCGTATCAATATGGAATAGACGCTTTAGCTGATTGTAATGAAACCTTTACAGTATTTTGTTAATTAACGTCGTAAAACAAATTGAAGGAGCATATTTAAATAAATTGCATTAATTTTCGTAAATAGTATTGGTAAGAAAATTATGAGTAATAAAGATAATATAATTACCGTTTAAATGTTCTTCATAAATATATGGCTCAAGCAAGATCATTGAACTAACAACTACAGCAGTTGAATTAAAGGCACGAAGTGTTTCCAATGTTTGGGAGAAATAAAAGATATAATTAATTAACTTTTTTCCAGGGTTCCAAAAGACCTCAGAAGTGCTGTCTACTGTACTGCTCTGAAAAATGGAGGAGAAAATGAATGGAACTTCCTATGGAATAAATATCAACAATCAAATGTGGCAACTGAAAGAAACTCACTATTAAACGTGCTAGGATGTACTAGGGAAATTTGGCTACTAAGCAGGTAATTTACGTTCGAGTCCTGTTTGGCCCTGTTTTTAATACTTTTTAATAAATTTAGGTACCTGGAGTGGTCTTTAGACGATACAAAAATCAGACGTCAAGACACCAGTACTGTGTTTGGGGCTGTAGCTGGAAACGACGTTGGATACTACATTGCTAAAAAGTTCTTCTTTGATAATGTGAACAAGATTTTCAAACAGTAAGTGCACGATACGCAATTTTAATATCAATCTAGAAACTTCTAGAAATAGCAAAACTATCATTTTATTCTTGATGCTTTAAAGACTATATAAGGTTACAAATTGCATCCAAACTGTATGTGATGGTTTAAACCCAACAAATTTTCAAACGAGAAATGTTCAAAAGCAAGCCCTCGCTATATATGTGTAACTTCCAATTTGATATGCAGTTAAAGTTTCAGATTTTTGTTACTACTTAAATTACTTCTTGTCCTCAGACTGTATTTTTGTAGAATTCAGCGTTATCAAAGAAAGTGCTATAAATTATTCTTAATTTTTTCAGTTTGGCACCAAACAAGAGGAGGATTACGAGATATCTCACTTCTATCACAAGTCATATGCAGGACGTTGATGAACTTCATGAGGTAACAAAATTTAGAACCAAATATGCTCAACAGTTTAAAAAGTTATTTAATTTTCAGTTAAGCTATTTAATTGACCACAATAAAGAAAACTTCTCGGAAGTGAAGCAGGGCGTTGAACAAGCTTTGGAAACCGTCAAGATCAATATACAATGGCAGCAGATGCACGGAAAAAGTATTCATGATGTCTTGCAAAAGTTTTCCAAAATTTAAGTCAAGCTTCCAAATAGTATCATCAGTAATAATCGCTTTCAAAATTTGTTCAAAAATGATGCATTAGCTCTATGAAAACAAAAAGTTTCCACAGCAACAGGGAAAGTTAGGGAAACTAGAGAATTCTTGAATTTTATAGCTGAAACACCAGTAAATAAATGTTATTTATTTTTATTATACAGAGAATTTACAGATCTGAGACCTTAAACTAGATAATTATTTATATCTCTGTTAAAGTTAATTTAAATGTACGTACTTAATAATATAGTTATCGTATTTTATACATATCAGTTACAAAATGCAGAATGCAAAACTGTTAACTATATACAACAATGTACGTTTTAATAAATATGTAACAAATTTACATTTATTATGAAATAAATGTTTTCGTTTTCAACGGAAATGATTCCTTTGAATAAACAACTTAAAAAAAACACAACAAACCGACACATTAATACACAAATATAAAGCCGTATAGTACTTAAATATGATACGACTTGAAAACTTCTGTTCACACAACAAAAATATAAAAATATAAATATTTGATATCTATCTATTCGAATAAGTCATAGAAACATTATAAACAAAATACCGTTACATCTAGTATCACGAATTTTAACAAATTTATACTACATATATCGGTTTAATACTGGTCTGATTTGGAATCACGAATGGGCAACCCCTTGGTATACTAATCGCATTATTTTTAAATGATTTTACTTCTTTTCTAATATATTCACATGATTGAGAAATTTTAAAATCCAACTTATTAATTGCAATAATGTAGACTGTGATAAGAATTGCTTAAATGTATTTACTACTCTTGTATTGTTAATTTATTGACAATAGTTTTCACAAATTCTTATCAGATAGTTAACAGTATACATACAATATATGGAATATTTCAATAATCATAGTGAATATATTTGAATTTAATTATATAATCAACAGACTTACTTAAAGTATCTTACATACTAATATTCACGGGAGAACGTACAAAATTCTACCTTAAAAACGTGAAAAATCGACGAAAGGTATATATTAATAATTGTCCAAACGAAACAATGACATAGAATTTGAATAATTTACACTACATTCGATAACTGTTAAATCTTGTACTATGAAACAAAAAAATATGCCAACAAAACAAACGAGAAAAAAATTACTAAAACTAGAAAAATATTTTATCTTACTAATGAGATGCTATAGATTGATTTGTTATGCATATTTTGATGACAATATTTTCAAAAAATAACTTATTAAAGTGGCACTTTTCATGTGGCTGTTGACTGTGACCGATAAAAACTTACTACTTTTCATCTCTCTCGGATTTATTATACAGGGTGGCCCACAAATATGAACTCTACTGACGTAACTTAAAAGATGCAATTACAATAATTCCGAAATTTTCAGGTTTCTACACATCTAAAATATATTTTTTTTAAGTGGCATTTTGTAATACCGGAAAGAAACGTCAAGTTGCTTATTTATGATTAAGTTGCTTTAGCCTGACTTGACATTTTTTGAATTATTGTTTTTTTCGAGTTACGAATGGCAGTCTATATTCGTAAGACACCTGAATATTTCCAGATCAATACATGAATATTTTCAACCATTACTTTGTTGGTTGTCAGCGTTACATGGGCTAGTTTCGGACAAAAGTTAAACTGACCTGGGTCGATTTCTTAAATTACATTGAAAATTTTGTTCATCCTTTAGTATATTGTGAAAAAGAATAAATTGAAAATTTTAAACATTTACTATCAATAAAATAATTAACTGGATTACTCAAAAAATTATAACCCTTACACTTCTTATTTCAATTTTACTTTATCTTTATTTAATTTGAAATGTTTACTAAAATAGCATACAATTTATTTGCAATCTCATTGCTTCCATACATGTCTCTATTAAAGCTAAAAGCTGTAATGGGAATTATTCAAAGAACATGTCCATTAAAAGCAGCAAATACAGCTGAGGTATGTAGAATTTACAATCACAAGTATATCAAAACATGTACACATTTTACTTCATCATTCTTTCAAAATCAATATTCAACTGATATTGCACGACAATTTCCAAAATATTCGAAAATGAATAGAAAAAATGAAGTAAGCCGTTAGTTATCAATATAGCTAGTTACTTCCTATTTCAACGCAAAACGAAATTCATCATTGAAATGAAGATAAGGAATAATACACTAAGCTTTGCCATCTTAAATACATACGAGTAGTCATTGCCCCTCATTTTGAATTAATGAAAAAATCTTCGCGGTTAAGTACAAATAAATAACATAAATTAGTTCCAATGTGGTTAATCTGTAAAAAATATGATTGCGTGAACTTTTGTTCCAGGTGTGATTAGATTCAATGAATTGTATGAAATTGGCACATTTGAAAATAGTTTGGTCATAGAAGCGAATGAAATATGAGTACGAATATTAATGAATCAGGTATGCGCCGTAGTGAATAAGCAAAACACAACCAAAATTGAAAACCAATTAACGACTAGACTACAAGCAACTTACTATAATACTTTGGAATAGAACAGTAAATATGGCGTGTTTGTGCTTTCGTGCATTTTATTCAGCATTTCGATGAATTCTTTACTTGAAAGTATTTTCACTTTTTCATCGTCAAATTCGAGCCAGTCTTGACTTGAACCAGGTGAACACAAGTTTAATTTGCATTTAATGCCGCAACAGTTGATACTCTGACAAACCTGCAATTTTTAAAGTTTCCGCTAATAACACACTGCACTGACTACGCACGCACAACACATTTTAAAAATCATCATCATTAATAATAAGATACTTACTTGGGTATCTTGTTTTTTAGAATTAAGTGTGAATCCATTGTCGGTTTCACTCAACGAGTTTCCCAAAGCTTTAGCTTTGAGCATTCTCAAGAAGTTCATTTCTTTACTACTGGATGTTAGATAACTTTTTGGAGTATCCCTACTGCATTCGACGTAGTCGGAAGTTTCAACCTAATGAACACAATATTATTGAAACAAATGAGCTGCAGCTCATGACGATAAAAAAACTAATTGCAACTATATGAAAAGTAACGAAATTTCGTTATGTTCCTTGTTGGATCGGGTTAAACCTTCTGGCATCCCTGGAGGAATTAAACTTTAGTTAATGTTTGTTTCTATTGATTAATATTATTTTGTTTTTCTACGGTTACACTTAATTTCGAAATCATTAAGCCTGATGGCTATAATTTTTGCTCTCATTCCAAGCACCCTCATTTCTTTTCCCAATCCTCCGCTTTATTGCCAAGGTTATACAGGCTCTGAGGTGACAAAGCAACCCCTTTTTTGGAACCTTGAAAGCGAAGCCCAATTTAATTTGAAACGAAATTGCGTCGGCCAAATGAGATCCTGTTTGTTCCCTGCAATTCTAGGAAACAGAAACATCTCCAACCCAGAAATATTCAAACTTCTTTTGCAAAAAGTAAAATGGCCCGGACCTAAGAAATCCTCCAGAAATAAGAAAGAAATGTTATGAATCTGAATGAAAGACGGTATATTATAACGTAAATTATGTCAGACATATTTAAATGTAAAATATATAATACAAATTTCAGTTAAATTAAATGTTTGGCCTTTCTGCAGAACCTTAAAGCCAACGGCGTCGTAGTTGTAAACAAAAATAAACTTACCGAAGCTCTTGAATAAGCAATATAATGTCCTGATGCCATACTGGCTCCCAAATGCATAATTACACAGCTGAGTTGGTACCTGTGGGGCGTAGTTTTGGTATTTTCAACTTTGGCGCAAGTTTCACAAAAACATTTAATTTCTAGAGGTGTAGGTACGTAGGTATTGACCTTTTGAATGCCAGATAGTGTAGTGGTGAAACGCTTCAAGTGAAGCACCAAAACATTTGGCAGTTTCTCATAAAGAATCTAAATTAAAATATGTTTACATTAATAAGTGTAAATCATAATCTAACAAAATTAAACTTACGGTTCGCTGTGCTTCGTTATATCGATTACAAATCTCGCAATAATACTTATTTTGATCGCACAATTTTTCAGAAGTAACGCATAAGCTTCCAAAAATGTTGCTATCATTATAATTGGATTCTTCGGCTTCATCCTTACCATGAACAGGTACCTAATGATGAAAGAGAAAATATAAACATGCGGATATTTTGTAAAGTATGTGAAATATAACAAATCGTTTTACACCAACAAAAATGTGCACGCACTTAAAAACTGCTCTTTATTTAATAAATGCAATCAGTAACTTATTGGGTAAAATTAAGCAAATCTGACCGAATTAGAGTATTTTCTTCAAAGGTTAAATTGAACCATTTTTCAAAGCAATGACGCGTATTTGGATTCATCCATATAATTGCTCACCTGAATTTCTAAAAACGGTTCCTTTAGCTCGCTAACTCCTTCACACTCCAGACACTTTGTGCGATGCAACGAGACACCCAGAAACTCTTCGGCAATAAAATTATATCCAAATTTCCTCTTTGTTGCATCACCGCAACCGTTACTAGATGGGCTCAAACCGTCTTCCGACTCGTCAGCTGCAATATCTAAAATCATAATAACAGATTGAACCTTGGGCCCCATGGCCGTAAAATACGTTAAATATACCATTTTCCATTGTGCCGTTATTTTTAACGACTAGTTTTTCTTTCTTCTTTAGCTGCTTTTTCCAGGAACGCCTAACTGGATTCCATTTTTTACTGCCGTTATTGCCATTGGTAGTGGATTCAGGCGGTTTGATTAGATCCGGATTTTGTTCTATCTGAAAAACAGAATTGAAAACTTGATGCCTGAGATTGATAGGCGACTTATCGATTGATTAACTAATTAAAACTAATTATGCCCAGGTTACTACAATACTTTAACTTTATATAGGCAACTTGCTGGATGCAAGAAGTGTTTGTCTAATAGAGAGACGAAAAACGTCTAAAACTGTGGTTGCAATTGGCACGACACAATGTGAAAGTTTCCAAAAAGATATTGACAAGAACTTGTATTTATGCTCAGTTCTTAAATCAATCGTTGAAGCAAAAAAAAATTTCATCCGAAGAAAATCCAGGAAGGATAAAACAGAAAATCTTTGTAATTTCAAGTTTTTATCTTCTCTGTACAGAGTCAATTAAACACAGCCCATTAAATAGCAAAATATTTTCTTTCGGGATTTCTTTTTCTTCGGAAAGATAAATTTAAAATACATACTACTAACTTTATTACTGCTTATTGACCGTCCAATGACTCTAATTTTTACTTACTTGTTCACTAAGCCGATCACATGTGATTCTTAAACAACTCAGCATTTCTACAAAAAATTCATGGGCGTCCTGCTGATGATTGCCTTCGAATAAGGGGTTGGCATCTCTCATTGCCTGCATCAATGCCTCCGGCTGATAAGGATCAAAAGATCCTTTAGATTCCAAATTATTCATAATCACAAACAACCCATGCAGTTTTTCAGTGACCACTTGCTCTTTGCACTTCGGAATAATATCATTTCCTGTAAAACATGGTTGTAGATAGAATATTTAATTCGATAAACATTTAAATCAGATATACCTATGGATAACAGGTCTTTGCTGCTGGCACTACGCCAACTACTACCGCTCACGGCGCTTCCATTTCTACCCAAGCTGCTTGTTTTCGTTTTGGTTTCCTTGAGTTTACTGTTAATTGAATTCAAGTCCAATAGGAGATGATGCAAATTGTGTAGAAACGTAGGAGTAAATCTCAACGCATAAAGCACACTGTTCAAAAAACAGGTGTTTCCCATGTTGAGTAAAGTAGCCACATTGTAGTCTAACATGATATCCCCATTTGTTGCATGGTATACTTGCTCTTCTTGATAATCATCCATCACGTCTGAGAGTTTGCGTTTCTTGGACGCGCAAGATTTTGAAAGTTTATTTCTCTGTGATGAACTTGATTTCGAAGTCGTCTCTGGAATTCCAAATATAGGATGTACTTAGGTACGTAACCTCATATTAGAATATAAGGAAACACTGTGGAACCAGATAGATTTTCAATGGAATTAAATATAAACGAGACCGTAATTAACTAACTAGTATTATCAGTCATCGAAAAGTTATGATGCAGTTTAGGTGAAAGACCCCATTAAGTTTTATAGGGTCAATTGCCAGTAAATATGTAGTTGTTTGCAAATATAAGAATTAATTTAGTAACTTTGAAAAATAAACTTTCATTGAATATGTATCAAGTAGATGGATTTTAATAGATAAAGATAGTTGTTTACCTAAAATTTTTCGAAGTGTAAAAGAAGAGTCCTTTATATTCTCTTTATTGATAATCCTTTTCCTGGCTTCTTTTCCTTGCTTCTGAAAGCCTGCAAAAAATAAGCCATGAATAGAAAAAAAAAAGTGTCAAGCTCATATATTATCTATCTCAATCACAACAATTAACTGAGGCCCAAATTAATGGTAATACATTTTCGTCGCATCTAGAACAAGTGTTAGAATGTAAACACTTTCGTCAATTTTCAGAAGCGCCAAAACGATTTACTGTTGTCTTCTAAAAGTAACTTTGATTATTGCAATTTTGACTAGACATTATAGATGCAAGTAATACTTTTAGCAGTAACTGGATGAAAACAACAAAATATCTTTAGAATACAATAAACGGACAGTTAAAACATCCACAAGTAATGCATTTCTTGTCGATCATTGATGTTTGATCAAATAACTTTACTAAAAATTACCTGGTGGGGTTGAAGACTGCCCTAATGGCTTATTGTTACAAAATGCCACTGTGGATGTCTCTTCTTCATCATATGGTATACCATAAAAAACATTATCAAATCGCTGATCATCAACTGAGCGTTTTTTATCTTTACTGTAGTTCCTGGGAAATCCATTCATTTTTTTTGTCTATAGGAAACCTGTAAATTTGAAAATTATTCAAACTAGCACTTTTAACTTTTTAAATTTTTACGTTAATACTTTACTGCCTAAATATGTAAGTTTCAAAGCTTCTCTTCCCTACCCTGAAGTCAACGTTTTCGAGAAAATGGCTTTTAATGATCAGAAATAAACATTTTGCTAATGATTCCCATAAGATACTTCGCACAGGAACGGGAAAAAAATTGAAAGACGTTTCTCCTCTCTACGTACCATCTTGTAACCAACATAGTAATGCTCATATTTTTAACAAGCTATACGATAGACAAGACACAAAACTATTATAGACAACTTGAAGCCCAAACCAAAAAAAAAAGATTCTCTTGCTTCACATCGACAAAATGAATCGTTTTCACAGCAAAATGAATGTTGCATCAAAATCAATTTTCACAATTTTTTTTTTTAATGAACAAGCTGCGTACTGCTGGGAAAAAAAGCGTTTTGAATGATAAAACAAACAGCAAAACTAAAAGAGACATTGCAACAGACTGTTGAATTGATTTCTAGTTTTGCTTGGAAATATAGGTATATTTTTTAAATATAAATGTGGAATAATTAACGGCAGTGTACTTTTTCAAACGTGCCAGTCACGTGAACAGAAACTTCCATTGATGGCAGAAATGAAAGAAGAAATGACCAAAAGCGATATTCAGTAGAACGTTTTGCAAGTCACCGTTTCAAAATAATTTGAAGCGAATGCTTAATGCATAGGTATTCGACTTTTTCAAACAATTTCAAATAAACCCACATCAACGGGTAGTTCTCCAAAAAACTTGCTACTCTAAGCCTCTCGTTTTCGACTAAAATTGTCCCAAAATGCCAAACATGATATCAAAATTGAAATCCTCCTAAATGTGCAGGTAAAAATCGAACTGTACAATTAAAAACATTAAAAATAATCAATCAAAGTAATACATAGAATTTTTAATGCGTTTATCAACCTCAGATAAAACAAATGCGTTATTTAAGCTTCAAGTTAGGAAGAGTCTGTAGAAATAGTTTTTTTAGGAACTTGTCGTATTATTTGTCTCTGTATATGTACCCGAAAGCACGGCTACATTTTCCTGTACCCTCTGCATAATAGATTTGAGTAATGTAAAAGGTAAATACCTAATTGTTTTATCAACTTTTTGATATTTTAACCGTTTTAATATGGCAAAATCCTCAGAATTTTCCGGAGTTCTTAATATTTATCAGCCATAGAGTTTAGTTTAACATGCTTAAGTATGTGGTTTTATCCTACGATTTTAAACAATACGACTCACATGAGATAATGGGTCACATAAACATAAAACAATAGATATATAACATTAAAATATACGTGATTGGCAGGCATGGAATTTAAAATTTGCTTCGCATGAATGATATTAAAAGTAATTTAATCAACTACCTAGATTTCAGTACTGAAATTAGAATGATTTTTTAAAACCAGAAACATACTTGTATACTTTGCACTTATAAACCAACATATTCATGGCAGTTCAGGTAAAATTTCAAAGCAAATGAGAGCAGTCCGTTGGCTTGATTTGACCTCCTTATACATTCACGTAAAACAATAATAGATATTAAATGTTAGTGACTTCTAGCGTGTTTTCGCATATGGTATTATTGTTTGCAACAGTAAAAAAATAAAGGGAATAGAGCTCGAAGAAAACCTAGTATTGTCTAGAAGACTATTTATTGTCTGCTAGATATTTTCAATTACATAAATGTTTTTAGCAGTGCGTATTTTAAGCAATGTACTTTAGGCGTCTGCAGTAGAGCCTACAGGTCAACGCCAAAATCATTTCTACTCGCATTCTATACAAGTTACAGGTGGCACTAGGCACATAACATATACTACCCACAATTGGGGCATTTATCTCTTATGAAGGAGGTGATAAAATCCGTGGGGCAAATGCTTAAGAGATGACCTGAATTAAATATTGGTGTAAAAACTTAAGAACTGGGTGTAGGTCAAGACAAGTTAAAGTGGGTGAAATAAATTGTAATTTTACGCTAACCGTAAAAATCTAAGTATGCAAAATAGTAAAACGAGATTCATACGAACTGAAAACAGGCACTTAACGTTAAATAACCGTACATACATGTGTAAACTATTTATGTAACAATTATAGTTTTTATTGTTTAGTGCACTAATACTTATATCGGCTCCAAATGGCACCCGCACACCAGTGCAAAACACATCAGAATTTGCAATAACAGTGCATTTTGCTAATTACGAACAGAAATAATGACTAAAATTCCAATTTTCTAGGCGCGTACACAAACATTTTCACATAACTGAAACTGACATTTCTAAATGTTTTGACAAAATTTACACGGATGACTGATGTCAAAACGGTCAAGCTGTCGGATTTCATCCAAATGCCTCCAAATGACGTCAGGAAAGAGGTGCCTGGAAAGTCAAACGCGTTCATAGCATATACTCACAATTATTGTGTTGGCAATAAAATTTGTTTTAGGATAATAAGACGTAAATAGATTTTAACAGATGAGAAGAACGGTTTGAATTATATTTTCTTCAATGACACTTTCTAGCAAATGTCTTATTTTAGCTTTTCTGTTAAAAATATTCATAAAGTCTGATTTACTTTCCATACAGTTCCGTACGTTCTCGTTTTTTTTCTCGCTAGAAAATAAGCGATTAAATTTATTTCAAATATTTTTTACATTTGCAGAACTTATTTAATCGTGTCAATCAAAGCCAAATCTTATTTATAAACACATTATCATTTCAGAAATCATAGTAAACGTTGAATTTGAAAAAAATAAAAATCAGTTTAAACGTCAAATAAACGCGTTTCCAAGTAAATTCCGTCAAGTTTTAAAATTTATCAATGGAAACCGAATTTCCAATAATCGAAAACATGGAAAAGCAGGAAAATCTTAAAAGTCAACAATATAGAAACGATGAGGTAAGCTTTCGATTGCTAGGGTTGTATTGACCAATTGTTCATAGGTGAACACGTAAAAATTTATTGAATTCCGCAACTAGCGGAAAAGTGAGCCAAGTTTAAAGCGACTGCCCATTCGCGTCTAAAATAGTTTCAAATAAGAGAAGTCTTCAATTAGGCTGAATTCAAAGTAGTTATTTAGAAGTCTAATATTTATACAGTGTCTTCACATTGGAAGGAACAAATTTATTTAAACTTTGGTCTACAACTGTTTGGACAAACGCGTGGATGCGCCATTTAGTAGGGAAAAGTGCTGTAACTAGGGACATTTTCCTATCTTTAATTTTTATTTGACTACATTTATTAACTCAACATTACTTGACTCTATCTAAAGGATTTGATATGCGAAAATGATGAAAGTAGAAATATTGAAATCTATCTGATATGAAGTTGTTACGCCCCTTAATGCGCCTTAAACCCCAATTAAAAACTGCTATCAAAACCTTCCTCCGTTGCGTTGTTTTTGAGCAAGTTTTTCCAAAAAATATATTTATATAAAATACAACCACTAGGTAATAATACTATCAGACTCGCCTTCGCCAACGAAGTTCGCCATTTCGGAGAGCAGTAACTCGGAGGAATACGCACTAACCACGCAGGAAGAGCCTATCGATTTAACTTTCGGTAAATCAAGTAATGCAAACAATTATTGCGTAGCTCAGGTATGTGATAGTCGTTGCAGGTTTTTGCGTCTTCAGGAATAAATTCTGTATGCTTCATATATTATCCTTTCATTTCCTTAGCCTATAGAGACAAATGGTGGTAACGCTAAAATAATTATTCAGCCCAAACCACCAGGATCCTCATCCAATACTGACGTAATCGATGGAATTCATGGAAGAGGCATAAAAAGGAACATGAGTATGAGGGCAAGCCAAGAATTTAACGTAATTTATTACGCCGAATAGATTTATAGGAAATGTTGCATTCACCGACTAAAAAAATATTTTCAGAACAATTGGTGCCCAAATACAAATAAAAACCAGAACAAAACGTACGCAGTTCCCAACTTACAGCAACCCCACAAATCAAACTATTCTTACGCAATACTTCGCGCGGCTCAACCGGACGCATCATTAAACCAGTTTACTACGAGACAACAAGAGGTCTTGAACATGGCTAAATCTATTTTTTCAAAACGTACTCGGACTCTCTACCATTGGATGTATCCTACAGCGTCCAAGCAACAGATAAAAGATGTGGTTTCCAATACCTGGGAATCCATGGCTGGTCAGGAAAAGAATATTTACGTAGCTCAGGTAGGTACTACCTACTAATAATACATACTTATTTAATATTTTGTCAATTAATAATTAATAAAACAAATTTTATTAATTATTTGGAATTAAGTTTGAGTAGCTGAACTTATTGATAAAACAAAATAAAAAATTAGTGAAAAAGTGGGGATCAAAATTCCAATAAAAAGTTAGAGACAAAGAAATATAAAGTTTCATGTTCTCAAAAATGTTTTTAATTTATTATTAATAATAATGATATGATAATATATGAATAATACTCAAATATAATGCACCTTTTATATGTCAGGTTTTAGATCGCTTCGGTTACAATAATGCAAATCTGATGGTAAACCCTCAACTGGGTCAAATTAAAGAATTACCTCCTATGCCTGGGATTCTAGAACTCAATTCCAAAGCTAGCGAATTGCAAAACGCGATCTCAAGTATTTCAAACGAGGCGAATGTTCTAGAGGTGTGTAAAATGTGTTTTCTCAATCTAAAATGGTCACAATTAAATGGTTTTTTCAGCCCACTTTTCCTAATGATCCAGGCAGAAAACAACCCAGATTTGCTAGGAAAAAAATCACTCCAAACTTATCATCTGCTGGCCAAGAATTTGATGATGACCCTGAACTAAGTCAAGAATTGGCGCAGTTTTCCATGATGCTTAAGAATCAGTTTTAAACGTTTTCAAACAATAACTTTATTTAAATTAAGTTTCCCATTGGTTAGCGAATTAAATATAAATAATTTAAATAACTTTCTATTAATATTATTTATATCTTATAATATTAAATACTTTTCTATTGTTAGACAACTATTGTCAGACAACAATAGTTGTCTCAAATCAGAAATATTTCATACCACGTCAACTCGAAGAACATGCCCATCAGCTCCTCCAACATAAATCTGGTTCCTCTCCCCACACACAATTGCGTTAATAACAACATCCACATTCACACTTGCTACGTTAGTTGGATAGTTGTTGCTGATTGTCCACTGTTTTAGCAGTTTGTCCCATCCACCACTAAAGAATTGTTCTTTCTCCCAAACTACTCCAGATAGAGCATTTATAATCATCTCTGAACCATCCTAATATTAAGTTTATTGAAATAAATGTGAAAGAGAAATGGAACAAACGTAACTTACCGTAACTCTTGCAACTGGTTTAAAGGCGGATTTTATGCTATTCTCGTGTAGTTGTATTTCCTTTCCTTCTCTGGTGATAAAAGCAAATAAATGATCACCGATTATGGCTACTGGAGCTCGACCCATAAATGAAGTTTTTGTTCCATACCGAATCTTTTCCCCTAAAATGTACGATATAATTGACTCACATTTTCCTGCTTCGAGAACAGTTATTGGACTAAACAGATGGGCATTAACAGTTGGTTTTATAACTATAGTAAGTACCTACCTTCTAATTTAATTTCCGTAATGACTAAATCCAAATCTTTCACTGTAAAAACTAAATTTTTATAAACAGCCATGTCTTTGATAGGTTCAGCAATATTCACTTGTCCATAAAGCTTTTTATCTTTATATATGCTGATCTAAAAACAACGTTTAATTTTAATGAATTGTGTAACTCTAATCTAACAGGTGTTGAACAACACGCATTCCTACATTTCCTTGGTCATCGCCAGAAAATAAACAGTTTTCAGAAAATGCTACTCTCCAAAATTCCACCTCAGAACTTTTCACAAGAGTTTCTTTTTCTTTTAATGTATCCAGTTCCCATAATTTGATCGTGCCATCATTTGAACATGAGAAAAGTGTATCTTCACTTGCTGCAAGACAGAAAACTGAACATGGATGCGCGTTTACTTCCGCTTTCTTAATCAGATCTTGGGACCATAACTGCAAAACATGAAATAATAATTCCAATTTGCGGCTGGGCAAGTAAAACTGCAAAAACAATCCATTTTACTTATTATTCTGTTACGGTTTTATTCATTTTTTTAAACTAATATTATAATGTGGCGAGATAAAGCGATGGGGGCAAAAATTAATTACATTTTTCTGAGTTATTTAAGTTTTTTGACCAACTCATCGCAAGATATTGCCGAAATCACGATAGCTAAGTGAATGAGTCAATCAATAAATCCCGTAGAATCATCTTAAATTGAGTTTTTCTTGTGCCCATACATAATTTAGTAATTAAAAATAATTTCAAATATATTAAAAAATCAAACTATTTGGTGTTTAAACTACTACTTAATAATTGGATTTATATTTCAACTTACTTTAATTTTTCCATCATCAGCGGCACTATATAATTTACCGTCATGAAACAACAAAAACGTTATATCGAAGTCATGTTTATCACTATCACCAGCCCTACAGGCAACTTTCAAAGACATGGCTGACTAGTCAAAAGGTTTATTTAGTAAGTAAACCCATTAAGATAAAACTTATTTCATTTTTTACTAAAAAAATAACGAATATTGCAATATGGCCGGTGGAATAACTAAACTGCTGGGAAAAGTTCAACTGATCTGCGCGTTCGGACAAAAATAGCTCTCATAAATAGATGCAATCTATTTATACTTAAGCATGTACTCAAAATACTTCAGTTAAATTAAATCAGTCAGTAAGTTCAGCCTGGGGAATGCATTTGTATTCGGCAATGCTTTGGAAACACTAGAGAAATTGTGAAAATTAATCTAATACTGAAATTCTGGTTGGTAAAAAGGATAATAAACAAAATATTATATGCTGAACTGGAGTTATTATTAGCGTGAATCAATGATCTACATCCATACTATCTTCACAATCTGTATTAGCTCTACTTTCCAAAGTCGCTTCGGGTTCTTGATTGCTAACTACAGATTTTTTCTCTAACTTTTCTTTGGCTTCTTTCAAGTTTCTCAAACTGAATCTTTTAAGCTTAAAATTTTGAAGAAATCTTAACTCGCCCGTCCAAAGTTTCAGCTGTTTTAAATGGTTGGGATTTAATAAATCAGGCAACTCTGAAAAAATAACTTTATGTAGAAGCAACAATAAAACGTTAAGACTAACGTGAATATTTTATCATTAGCTTTCAAGTTTCCTCTACTGTTCAAACAACAAATATTTAAGTGGTTTTTTCAAACAATAATATTTTCACTTTGTTATGTTTAAATTCAGATTTCAAATCTTACCTATCCCACATGTTTTAAACTCTTCCTTTTCGCTTTTTAGGGTCATATTAATGATATCTTCCCTATTAGCATGTTGCCTATTTTTCCTTTGTCCTATTGAATGTTTTAGTTTGATTTGTTCTAGTTCGTCATCAAAGCGACCTAACAGAAAAAAAATATGTTTTTACATCTCAGCTCAATTCAGGATTTTTTTTTGTTGAACAAAACACAAAACCTCCGAATGAGCATTCAGATGTGGACGGTAGCACAAACCGCGTCTAACAGACTGAGGCGGCGAGGAGCTAATTAGAAACGTGCCGATTCAGCAAGGAGAATTGAAAAAAATGAAAAATATACATTTTGCAACTGCACAAACATGTGTGCTCTAAAACCACTAAAATAAAATGAATCGAGAATATTAATATTCAAATGTTGCATTAAAATGCATCACAAAAATTTAGTATAAATTGAACAGTGGTACAAGAATTACGATTGTAATTCAACTTACCGAGATATTTTGCTATCAACAATTCTAAATCGAAAGGGGACAAACTCGTTTCATCTGGGTTTAAGTTTTTTTGGAACCACTGCAGTTTCTCACCAAGAAGATTCTGTTTAATTTGTGCACCTAGTTTAAGTTTATCTTTCGCATTTTGCCTGCAACGTGTTGAGATTTTTAAATGTTCAGTTCTTCCGATAAATCAAGAAACCCTACCTGTTCAATGTCTTCACTAGTGCCTTGGTTTTTCGACTATTAGGATGCTTACACTTTTCCAGTTGCTTGATTTTCGGCTAAAATAAATTTCGATGAGTTCATAATTGAATTAATAAGATTCTAGATTATCTACCATATTCTTAGCTAATTTTGCGCCTTGAGAAAAACACAAGTTTATTTCACTCTTGTTTGAGGTTATCCACAGGGGGCAGATATTTTCTTCTTAACCGTCCGCACAGTCCTGGCTGATTGCGCTTGCGCGTCTCGCTGCCATGTTGCCGCTATGCACTATACTTGGGTTTTAACCGCCGGGCCTTGCTCGAATTTACATTCATTTTACATTCGAACACCTGATTTGAACCACAGACTACATACTATTCTTCCATCAGTCTTTTTCTATGAAGTCTTCAACTTATGTTGCTCAAATCACAGATGACAGAGTCTAACCTCAAGGGTTCAAATGTCAAAATATTTACGTATTGTTATCTTTCCAATAGAAATATGTCACGTAAAATTGATATCTGAAAGTACCGAAACTGTTTTAGTATAAGCCTTGTTCTATGGTTTTAGTTCAGCAAGTAAACCAGCCACTTCAATGTGAAACATTATTGTTACAAAGGAGAATTTAATATGCAATATCCGTCGTATTTCCTGTGTATACTATCGCTTATTTTGTCGTCGAAACATCTTGATTGCAAAGGGTTTGACGATACAACTCTTTTCGATATAAACTTTCCAGGCAGTGTACCGGAACGTTTAGACGCAGATTATGCCGAAACGCTGTTTGTTACTTCTTCTATGAAAGAAAAATACCAATGTTTCCTGCCACTCGTTGTAGAGAATCAAGAAACTGAGGTGGAATTGTATGCAGGGCCCAGTCCTCTCGAGCTTATTTCTCCGCTAATTTCTAAGGGTATGGTTTAGAAAATGTATGTTTGTTTTTAACTTGTATTCTATCATTTTACGCTTTAGGCACCTGCTCATACCGTATAGAAAGTTACTGGACTTACGAGGTTTGTCATGGCAAATATATTCGACAATACCACGAAGAACGCGATAGCGAAAAAACCAAGCTTCAAGAATATATTTTGGGGAAATGGGACGATAGACAACTTGAACGCTTATTACAAACATCTAAAAATGTACGTGAGGATTTGAAAGAAGATGTGGTCATCCCAACTAAAAAGGTTGATAATGTCAACTTGCCCTATTATGAGGTAGGTAATTAGCTGATTAACAGGTAGTAACTCGATTTAACAAAATGCAGATGAAAAAACTGAAAGTCAGGTGTTTTGTGTTTAGTTTTTTAAATAGCAAATTAGTTAATTTTGCTCTCATAAAGATTTTTTGTGTTTTTAAAATCGAATTTCCCGTCAACTTCTATTCAACCAGTACGATCAAAGTAAATGTGAGTTCTATTAAGGCTTACTATACTCAAATCACATCTCTTCTTCTGAACATATAAGTATGTATTTGAAATTTCGAAGCCTCATTTTACTTTGCACGTATTAATAGATGCAGTTTTGTGAGAAATTCCATGTATAAATCAATTCTACACAAAAACTATCAGCAACATTGTTTTTTATAAACTTTTAAAAAATAATTTGAAAGTTTTTAAAATAATAAGTAAGTAAGTAATTATGGATTACCTGAGCTGATAATAGGTTGAAAATACCTTATGGCTATGAACTGAAAAATAAAATATAAATTTCTTAAACTTCCTGCGTTATTTATTCTTGAGACGGCCTGTTTGGTATTGAAACATCAAGACATCTTTTCCGAGAGGCTACAACATAAGCACTGTACAAGAAGTTTCATTCAGGATATTTATTGCGCTTGCCCTTGTCGGAATTTATAAAAAAGGATATTATTTACATGGCACGATATTAGATAGTCATATTCAATTATATCTTAAATCTATCACTGCGTTTGCTAACTTTCGTAAAGAAACGAAAGTCTAGTAAGTAGAAAGTAAAGTAAATGAATTGTCTTTCAAAATATTGTTTGTGCCTGTAAAAAGCGAGGTCTTGACGCACCTTTACACTGCAATAAATAATAGTAGTAATTTGGTACAGGAGTTTATTAATAAATAAATAAATTTAACTATAGATGCAAAACGAAGCAAAATTGGATATAGTTAAATTTGCCTAGATCATCTTGATTCTGATCAACAATTTCGACGCTTAAATGTTCTGCCACTTCTGGGACACCGTATGCAGTATATCATGCTTACACTTCAATAGTTTTTAATCTTTGTCAAATTTCCATTACTAATAAAATAAGTAACTTGCGGTACTGTTCAAAAATATTTCTATAGTATGTGCTATTCGGTACTTACGTAAATCATTAATCCATTTTAGATAGTAATGGGAAATGGTACTGCATGTGATCTTAACTTCAATCAGCCAAGAAGCACCAAAGTGATTTATGTTTGCTTTCCGCATGGTAAATATGTCTATTTAATTGTATAAATAACTGAATGAAGTCATATATAACTTTCTGGTATGTAAATTTAATTCGGCATCAGCAAAATACATTAATCTCATATCTTTAAAGGATGCCTTACTAAAAACGGAGCCTGTTTTTTGTTAATAAAAGTAGTTGAAATTTCAATAGAACCGAATATATTTATGTTCTAAACAACTGTTTTACTTGCACAATTGAGTACGCACCTAAAGCGTTTTTTGTGTTTTCTGTAAGTTTTTTGTGTGTTTTACCATTTTGTCTTACAGATCAACTCTATCTAGCTAGTCCAAACACATTATTAATTCAATAATCTTAAAGGAGAATAAAATAGTATAATACCATATAAGCAAGCAGCTCCATAACATCCATATTTAGGAAAAAACCCTGATCAGACAATAATGTAAAGAATAGTATTAAAAAGGGACATCATTATGTATTTTAAATCTATTAAACAAAGCAGCTTCAAAATTTGGCATAACATTCGCTCAATTAGCCAGAACTTAAGACTTATTCTATTGTTTATTTTTTCATTATCATTAACTTTCCTGGCAATTTTATAGCACTGAATTGTTTAATTAAGTGTTGAAACATTTACTGTTATGTATAATACATTTCTCTTTTAAAGGAAAGCACGAAGTATATCTGCTTAAGGAAGAATCAACTTGCATATATGAAATAATAATTTTAACACCTTTCTTGTGTGTGCATCCCAAATACAAGCCAAAAGACAGTAAAGAATTGAAAATCAACTGCGTACCTACTGACGGAGCAAATGCAGAACCCTACAGTTTGAGAAAATTGCAATTGGAAAGTGCCAAGCTGAGAAAGAACGCTGAAGTAGATGGGATTAAGGTACAATTTTTATTTGCTGACATACCATACTAAAACAAACAGTAAAGATCCAAGACAAGTTTGAGAAGAGCAAAATGCAGAATAAATTTTTATTGGCAGAATGCATATTATGCCTATTTTATTTGGTAGTTTCAAGATTTCCTGTTTGAAAATGGGCGTGATGAAAGCTACTATTAAACGAAATTCTTTGAATTTCTCACCATAGGAAAGTACACATACAAGAACACATTTCATTAAAATCGTAACATTTATTTAGCACTTAAAACACTTTTTGCAAATTAGTTTTCGTCATCGATTTACAAAAACTATTCAAAAAACTATTTTCTTACTTAGGAACTTCCTGTAGGATCGTATATTATTACAGTATTTGCTTTTGTTATTGAACACCCTGTACGAATTCGAACGCCATTCGTACGGCAAACAAGCTCATGACGAAACGAATTATTTTTTTTAGGTTGAGCTGATAAAGTTTAAAGCTGAAGACGCTATTGCTGGAGATTCCAAAACACCTAAGTTTGTAACTGAGAAAGTCGCGGATACCAATCCAGTCAAAGCTTTTTTGGCAGGAAAGCAATGTCTTTATGGAGGTAAGTTTTAAGCTCGGTTGTACCATGGAACCACAAGCCAAATGCGTCAACAGTGAATGAATTTTGAAAACTCAACTGGGATTGAACTAGTTTCATGCAATCTGCCCTCAGAATTCCACTTCAGATTGAGTTCAGTTGAACTAAAGCTTAAGCTTCCATTGTACCACCGGGTCTTAAAGGTTGAATGTTAGAATGGGTTTGAAGTCCTAAATTGCCGTGCTTAATATAGGTACTGGTTGGTGGAAATTCGGATTTTGCTATGGCAAATCAGTCGAGCAGTTTCACATCGAAAAAGACGGCTCTAGAATAGCAATAAGTTTGGGTGTATTCAAGAAACAAAAGCATTTGAACTGGATTACAGAGCATCCTCATAAGAGGCCCAAGCCTTTGCACCAGAGAAAACAGCTATCACACTTCTACTCAGATGTACGTTGAAATCACGGTTTTCATTCGTTTGCATAGGTTTTTACTATTCCACTTGCAGGGTAGTGTTTGCGACAAAACAGGGCAACCCCGCCAAACTGAAGTGAAACTCAAATGCTTGGAAAAGCCAAAAAGTCCAAGTAGTGTTTCTTTGTACCTTCTGGAACCCAGACCTTGCTCATACATCCTCGGTGTAGAATCGCCGTTGATCTGCGAAATTCTGGAAAATGCTGATCAGGATGGATTGGTAGAAGTTCCTTTAGAGTTTGAAGAGGAAGACAGTGAGCTTACCAGTTTTACTATTAAGCTTTAGATTGTATTTACTTTCCTAGACTATTTATCATTCACCATCAATAAAAGAAGCAGTCAAAAAAGTTATATTATATTTGTTGTTGTAAATGCAGGTGTAAAATTGTTGGTTTGCAATATCACAGCCATGGAATCGGTTTAGTTATGTTCAAACTCCTGATATAAATCTTGTGTATACTTCAATTCTGAATAAAAATGGGCTGATTTAATACTAATGGATGTGTAATCGATTATTTCCAGAATCTGAATTTAAAAAAGTACAGGGTGTCTCGAAGATTGAGTAGAGTAAATTTACTCTTAACCGGTATTATTTGAATGGAGCAATTTCCGAGTACATTTAATTTTATAACTTAAAATAAAATAAGCTTCTTTTTTAGTTGTGGTTTTGCTCTAAGTGTCTTTCTTTGTGTGGTACATACTAAATAAATTAATATTAAATTGCAGCTAAATTTCTCGAAAGAGGATCATTCCTAAATTCAATCGAATAATTTTGTTTGCTCGAATGGGCTGTTAGCTCTAAAGTGCATTTCTTTCATCAATCAGTCATGCTCTTAGCGTGGTGACAATATTCCAAATTATAATTCAAATATTTACGTATTTAATAATGTTGATAACAATCTGTTAGAATTAAGGACAAAATCCGTCAATAATTGAATTGAAGCCTGTCCTGACTGAATATCTACTACATGACCCCACTGACTTGAAAGCTAGATCCGACCTTGTACAACAGGGTGTTATTTGAGTACTTAACTAAATCTCAAGTGGTGATTATCTAATGATTTTAAGTAAAGTTTTGCAAGCGGTTCCTGTTCAATATACAACTTGTGAATTAATGTATACAATTTTGCAATAGCTTATGTTTATTTCTGTTGTAGAAAACCATTTTAATATGTGCGAAAAACTCAATAGGTAAATGACTCGTGTAATTTAAACTGCTGACTAGAATAGTGATTTTAATTATTCATTTTGTTGCCCCAAGGACATACATAGTGGCTTTTATTTTTTATCTGAAAAACAAAGATAGGCGAAAAATTCAACAGACCAAAAACTTGAGCCCTAAGTGGCTTAATCAGCAAAAACATTGCAAACTCAGTAGCGCACGTTCTTTTTGGAAATCTGGGGCAAAATCAGCTTTTCACTGCTGCAAATAGCTGTGCCACATTTAAACTATATCGATAAATGGATTATGAAAGTGTTTACGAACGACTTTTTTAAATTTTAGCACCCTGCAAAGGAAGCATACCGCATAAAACACCCCAGAAAATCACATCTTAAAGTTTGGCTACGGACTTAAATATCAGCCTGTACAATAACTGTTAAATATTCTTCAATTCTCAGAAGTGTGTCAGTACGAAATTCAATTAGAGCTTTCGAATTTACATGAGTAAAAAATAAATGATTATTGGAACTGTAAAAATTATCGAGTGAAATAGCTACAATGTATTTTTAATAAAAGCGGAATTACAACATTTTGGGTTATAAATATTACTTATGGGATAAACGCAACTGTTTTACGTTTTTTATGTACAACCGTTGAATGTGAACCATGTGATAAATTGATAAAAAGTTAAAATTACTTGAATAATAAGTTGCTTCCGCATGTTTTCCGATTAAAAGTTATATTCATGCTCACAGTTGATTTACGAGTTCTGTCCAATTTTCTAAAACGAAATTTGGGCAGATTGGACACAGTTATTTAAAAAATCTGAATGATCACTGAAATTTATGTAGTTTTCGCACTATAACCAGGCGGCTTTTGCATATTTACAAGTGATATATTGGTATGACGGTTGATAGATGCATGATATGCTGTATTTAAAAGATAACATTGTTTTGCAACAGAAAATTTTTGGAGAACTAATTCGCTATACTTCAGCTTCTTCACTTTTAACCTTTGGAACTCTTAGCAAATTGTGAAACTCTGAATACGTTAATATTATTGATTAAGAGAAAATGCGCGATGAGTAATTGAGTACTGATCGTTTAATGGTTGCAATTTAACTGATACAATACAAAGTTGAGAGGGTCATTAAGAAATTTTCCAGAGTGTAATGCAAATAATTGACATAACAATATTTCAAGATTTACGACTAAATCGCTTAAGCTTTATTGTTTCTTAAAAGTAGGCGATCATATATTTCGGAATAATTCTGTTCTTGCGGAAAAGGGCAGGATATAATGTAATTTTTAAATCCAACTAAAATACTTCAAGTGTCTAATTATTGTTAGGCTTTTTCTATCACGCTTTACACATTCGCCTGTGCATTGACAACTTATAACACTTCGCACCGAGAATTGTTGAGTAACTTGAGGACGCCTTACGATAACAATTATGCGGTCCAATTATCAATCTGAACCTAGACATTGAACTTTGCAAGCTCATATTAAATTAATTGAGACAATAAAAGTTAAATCCAGATTATTGGAGTTCCCTTTATTAATTTTAATGACGCAAATATTTTATTCTTGATATATGTAAATAAAATATGCCATTAAATGGCAACAATTTATACATGCAAAATGTCTCCAAAAGCAAATTTAAGTTGTATTTTTTCATGTTTTAAAATTAATTGATATTTTAAAACGCGGTTTGTTGCTTAATAATTGTTTACTAGTAGAAGTTGAATATACATTAGTATGAAATTTTTGGTTTCAAAAAGGATTTCTTCTAAACTATCTACAGATAAAGCAAAAATTGAAAATACCTCGTTTCTTAAACCGGTAATTTAGTTTTGCTTGTAAAAAATATCCCTTGTAATCGGTGATTTAAATTGAGTTTCTTAGAAACGAGAAGTTTCATTAGCTGTTAAAGTGTATTTTTATTTATCAAATTTAAGTATGTATTTCAACTAACTTGAAATGAGTTTAATCAAATGTTCTCAGTTTGTCGATACATTCGTATTCTGCATCAGTATCAACTTTTAAAACATTAATAAAATTTGCAATTAAAATTTTTCGGATTCACTTTGTATACTTGAATTTAAATAGAACATCATCTTCTACTCTGAAATGGTTATTAGAGAATTACTAACTACACTGTTCAACATATTGACAAATTTTAGTGGTCCAATTGTTTGGGTTATATTATATAAATTTGAGTTATATGTGATATTAAATTAAATAATAGAATTATATTGATTAAAATAAAAACGAGAACATGATCTTTAAGAGTAGGTACCCTATAAATAATGCATAGAAGGTTGGTGATAAGATTTATCAAATAAAACCACGTTTTTGGTATATTGAAATTTATTGAACCGATAACTGGCTATCGTGAACAAGTTGAGTATTGTAGGCTGAAAAACTGTAACATTTGAAAGCATGAACATTTAGAAAGTAGACGGGTAACAATTTATCCCATAAATATTTCGTTATCAGTAATAAATGCTAAGAAAATCAACAATCCTTAAACACAACAAAGGAAATTGTACCCACATCACAGCACATGGGATAAAAGGGAATCAAACTCGCGATTACAAACATTTATAAATAAATTACAATTTAAGATCTACTTTTCCACGCTGGCTTCTTCTTTGGATTTACATTCCAACGCAATGTTTTAAAAATATCAAGTAATGTTTCCTTAAATAAAACTTTACCAGTATTCAATCCAAATAAGCCGTACAACAAGCAATGATGAGAGTTTTTAACAGATAGATGAGCTAAAAAGTCTTGGACTTCTTTGGCCATCATTATTTGGTAACAATACTTTGTAAAATGAAGTAGTTTTGATTTAAAAGGATAGGTACCACACATAATCCCTCATTTTCAAAAACATTACACTTTTTATCGATTTAATAAAAGCATTCATTATCCGCAAAGGCTTCAACAATTGTATTTTTTTAACTTTAGGTTTTATTGAATTGCATAAAGTATAGTAACCTAACATGTTATTATGTTTCCGAAAGCGCTAATGATTTAACTAAAATTACCAATAAATACTTATGTTTAAAAGGAGTGGGAGGCATGTAAAATGTAAAAATATGTACAATATTGAAACAATAAAGTACTGGCTCATGTTACATAGAAATCCAGGGATAGCCGTGATTAGCAATTACAAGGTGACATTCCTAGACTACAATTTTATCAAATAACTTTTCATTTAAACTTTGGACCAAGAATATTTTGGATAAATAAATACTCTTTGGTGATGGTTATTTTATGCTCAAGTAAGCACATAAATAAAATTAAACGATGCAGAACCGGTGTTGAGGTTCAAATCCAATTTGAACAATATTGCTATTTCTTAAGAAGTAATGTTATATCAAATGAATGAGCTGCTCAATTTCCCACCAGCTCTCTTGCCACAATTTGCAATTAAAAGCTACATTAAGAGTATGGTTTTTGTTTAATTTCAATCATACACTCGATTATTAATATTATTTGACCAGAACACCACACAACGTATAATATATTCACTCCATAACAAAAACTACACCGAAGTTTCTGGTATTATCAAATTTACTTCAAGACAATATCCATGGGTGTTTAACATCACTGTGCAACATCTTTTAAAAGCCTATCTATGGACTAAGTATATACATAACTATAAATTATCACAGAACCCATGCTTAAAACCTATATATGTTTGCTTATGTAAAATTCCCACTAACTAAAAATAATAAATACTTATGGGAGGAATCATGTTAACCTTTTTGTAAGGTTTCTAACGTTAAAAAAATAAATAAATTTCATTTCTAAGGTTCCTGGTGATCATGTCATATGAATCCCTAATATTCGACTTGAATACTCATAAGTAACATAACTTATACTCACTGCGGGTATTGCTTTAATAAAATTTGGAGTTATGCCTCGATAAAGCCCAAATACACCTTCCTTCTGGAGTATGGTTTTAAAAACACCGGACATTGTCGCTGTAGCTGGGTCCATAGAAGGATGAATCACTTGGGCCTGAAGCCTCGTTCGGATTAATGCTAGAGGATAAGAACACATTTGACCCAGTGTGCTACTAGCACTTCCACAAGCCAGCAACATCCAAAAAGCGGGCTGTTCACTGCTAGAGTGGGTTTTAAAGTATTTCTTCTTCAAAGTTTCATATACAGCTAAGTCAATACCCGCATATGGAATAATACCCAGAATATTTGGAATGTAGCCTCTGTAATATGCTCGAACACCTTCACCGACATATATCTTATATGCTGCATCGGCTATGCTACTGTACTGCCCAGTTTTCCTTAAGGCTAATCTAGTTTTCAAAACTTCCAAGGGATAGATAATAGTTTGACTGACTCCTCCGGCAGCAGCTCCAGCAAAGAATCTTTCATAAATGCTAAGGGCTTCTTTAGAATTACCTTTAATGACTCGTTTCACTTGTTCGTACGCAGCAAACTTAATAGCTGTCTCCGGAGCAATTTTCAATACATTCATGGCATTTCCTCTCCATAAACCAGTCACACCTCCTTCCCTTAGCATGTTCTGTAAGCAGTCAAATATTCTTTGCTTAGAAGGTTGCACTTGTAAAAACACTTTCAGTCTATCCAAAGGAGCTGTGCAGGTTCTTGATACAGCTCCAGCAACACCTCCAGCTGCTAAATGGCGCCACCACCTTCCAGTTTGCATCTCAATGGGTGTGAAGTCGTCCGGAATATTCATATCTTCTCCAATGTCGATATAAGTTGAGTGCCTCCAGTAGTTAATGAGTTCTTGTATGTTATTGCTTGGGGCCAAAAGTAGAAAGTCTCTCCATTCATCGTAGCTGATATTGAGACTTCCATCTTGATCCATCCTCTGTAACAATTTGGTGGCCTCTCGTCTATCTAAGGGGATGCCTAAGTCGCAAAATGCACGCACTAGTTCATCGGTATCAATTTTTCCATCTCTGTTCTTGTCCAGATTTGCAAAGTGTAGTCTAAGATTTTTCTCATGTTCTCTTACATAATAAATAAAATCTGCTAATGATAAATCGCCACTGGTTGTTTTGCTATTTTTGAGAAATCGCTCAGCATATTTTTGATGCACACCATGTTCACGTAGGGCTGCCGATAAGTCGTGCACGTCGATTCGTCCGTTACCCTTTTTGTCAAGCTTTATAAATAGTTTTTCTAATCTTACTTCGTCTTCCTGGGGTAGCTCGTGAAAGTAATGCGGAGGCACTTTTGTTGGATCCTTTGAACGAGGCATGTTTAATAAACTAGGTTGCAGACACACTGCAGAGAAATTCCTTCCAATGATTTTTGTACATTCTCCAACTGACGCATGACACACTCGCTCATTGAGATTCTAAGGTTATTTTGACTTCGTCTTCTCGAATGGCGACATCTCTCCGGACTTTAGCTGGGCAAAGCGGCAACATCGCTGTGAGTCAAAATCGGTAGTTTAACTAAACTCTTAATACTCGTTCAATTTTTATTAAAATATTAAAATACATTTTTGAATTGTCTCAATATAAAACGTTGTCTATTTTGGTAATAGCTTCCATTGCGTCTTCTTCGGTGGTTCTTCTACAAGAGAGAAACATTAATGACATAAATAATTAAAAAATATACATGCCTTTTGGAGTTTGTAGAAGTTGAGTTTTTTTCTTCTCTATCATTCCAATTACTCAAAGAATTTTGGAAGCTAAAATTTGTGGACGTGAAGAAATTTCTATCTAATGTGCCGCCTGTATCTTTGGTTCTATTTGCATTTAATGTGCTATCATTAGCGTAGCTTTCTTCTACCACTGGGCTACCACTAAAATGTTGGAAACTGGAGCTGATTGAGGCATTGTCACGTTGAGGTTTTTTTACGTAAATAGAAGGGCCACTGAAAAAAACATGGATTATATTTGATTTTAATATTTCTATTGTGTCAGGATAAAAAAAAGTAAATTGGCAATGTTGTAAATCTGTTATCTTTCAGATTCAGAAATGTCAGCAAGTAAGGTTAAGTACTGTAAATAAGTTTTGTTTTGAGTTTCAAGTAGGTACATGAACTATTTTTAATTTGGCTATTATTAATAGTATTAATGTGAGTTTAGTTAAACTTGGGCAGGTGAGTGTTTGGTGTTATTAAGATAAACCAGCATGTCTCACCGGAAATGCCGAGGCGCGAGCTGGGCAGGAAGACAATCAAATACAGACTAACAATACTACGATTTAACTGGATATTTACTAGTATCTGCTAGTTTTTAATCAGTGACGAGTTTCATACTTAAATTAGAAGATCCTGAATTAAAACCTCGGACATGACATATTTTAGACACAGTGGGTAGCATAAATATAAGCCAAAACATTAAAATGCGCATCCTTTATTTAAGTAGTGTCTACTGTATTTAGGAGATACAAGGTTGACAAAGTAAAAAGCAAATTGAGACATGTATTTTGCGGCCAATACATTTGCCGAATAATTTTCAGATCTAATTTATACAATGATTTATCAGTCAGATCTGCAAAAACTTGCATTTGGCCTATTAGGATTGAGGAAAATATCTTACCAGCCTCGACAAGCAGCCTCAAAGTCGCATTTATTATTGGTAACAGAAGCCAAAAGTATGTACTAACTAAACTACTTATTTCTACCTCGTTTGAACCATTAGCTCATAGCCAGCCCATTTTGTAATTCTTCAATTGCAGGGCACTATTGCTATTGCACTATAAGAGTGCGATAGTATTAACAAAGTTGGCATTTGAACAAACAATTGTCGAATTATTAATTACAAAACTTATATTCTGGGTTTTTTTCAGAATCATATTGAGGTGCAGACTAAAATTTGAAATAGCATTTATATGTTTATTGAAATTGAACAGTAAAAAGCTGAGATTTGATCAAATAAATATTCAAGTCTGGTTACCCATTAGTATCTATAGCGGTAAAGCCGGCATGATAGTGTTTTAACGTGCCCACATTTATTCTCTAACCCATATCATCAATCCTTTGTAATTTGAAATGGCAATTCCTCGCTATACAATCGTATTAAGTAACATCACTTTTGCTCAGGAAGTTAACGTATTATTAAATGAAAAAAATTGCAGGCCATTGAAGTCACGTTTAATCAATTATCTTTTCAACATGGTTTCCGCTTTTTTCCAGACAATAATAGAGCCTGATTTAATGAACGTCAGCCTCTCAGTTGAAGATAAGTTCTATATTGTTGAGGCGGATTCATTTTTTTACAAACTGCTTGTTGGTTATTTGTATGTAATATTTATATAACTCTCAGTTGAGTTGCAGAAAATAGTAAAAGTTGCCTTCTAACTTTTTTACTAATTAACCGATTTGAACATATTATTTGCAGTTTGTTACTTTATTCCTTGGTACTATCTCAAGGGTAACAAAAATTGATTACCAGCAGATTACAGATCAGATAAAGCAATGATTTAGAAAAGTAAATGTTGACAAAACGACGCAATTTCCAAGGGATTGAGTACATCTCTGATGACTGGAATAATAGCGAAATAATTACACTGTAAACTGGAAAAAAAAATTTGGCATAAAATCTACAATACTATGAACGTTACCAAAACAACTCAAGCGCCAATTTTTCTGGAACTAAATGTATTTGTTTCCCAATCGACTTAGATTCATTTTAAAGACAATTGATTTTAGGCGTCTCCTTAAATAAAAATAGCGTTAGGTCTGGACACCTTGCTAGCCATTGAATACGACCTCGTCTGGCAAAATATCGATACGATACTGTACGATTACCGCACGCATATCTTCTACTTGGCGTTCAAAATTAAATTAACTTCTCAAAATATACACTGAGGATTTTTAAGAAGACTGAAAAAGCAGGTGAATAATTTTTCAAAAAATTCCCGAGACACTTCAACGTTTTAATGAATTTACCCACGTTTTACAAGCAATAACGAATATAAAAGGCCTCAGGGTTACTGAAGCAACCTTCAACACGTTTTTCAAATGAAATCCTTGTGAAGCGTCTGACCCAAAATAACACTTTGAGGATGGTTTCAGCTACTCCTGAAGGGCAATATTTTTCATCTTGCTTGAAAAATGTAACTAAAATGTAAAAAATATCCACCTCTCCGCTAGCGATTTTTTCCAGTTAATGTCTCCACTCTATACATATATCTATTTCGCACAATCAGTTAAATACGAACATATTATTTGTTATCAGCTATTTTCATATTCCTAAAGTGTGTTTATTATATATTATATCACAGTTTAAATTGTGAATCCACAATTAGCAACAGTACAGTTTTATAAGTTAGAACGTTATGCTTTAGAAGCAATTAAAACTATCGAAATGTCACAAGTTTGCTTTCTAATTCTAAGTGTTTTCATGTGAGTCCTATATTACGCATGTTATTAGTTAAAAAGAGATGTAAAAATAGTTTTGAATGAAAAAAGTCGATGGTAGCAACTTTTTGATTCTACTTCGTACATCTAAAACGTGTTCGTTTATTAATCGGTTTGAATTACTTTGAAAAATCGCGTTTCCTTTTCATGTTAGTTGGAATGGAAGTTAAACAACGAGGTTTTAATTATTAGTTACTTGTTTACTAAAGGTATAAAACTGGTAAGTCGATTTGTTATAATTATTTTAAAATATAGTAGTAGGACTGTAACGGTCGATAGAAAATGCAATTTTAAGATGAAAATATCATACAAACGAAATTGGAAACGGTTTTATCGCAGAAAGGATCTTAGATGATGTAATTTTGACTTAACCGTTAGAAAAATTTCCGATGGAAACAATGGAAGATACAATACACCACCATAGACGACCGTAATTGCGTCTTAGGTGATCTACAACTCTTGAACAAAATTACCAAATTCACTATCCCCACAGAACAAATAAAACAAATTTTAGTGCTATTGGTTAGAGAACTCGCAACTAAATTAGCCAACATTAAGCTCATTGAATAATTCAAATTACATTAAAAATTAATGGACCTTTTTATTATCAATTAAATTGTCTAGTTTATTCAAAGCAAAGGATAAACAGTACCTAATAATTGTTACATTCAAATAATCTGTGTTTATGTTGTCACGTTTGTTTTAGATTGAAATGAAAAAGAAGTCGACCCTACAATTATGTTAAGATTCTTGACTTCATTTTTTGGAAATTTATTTCAAATAATGCTTCACTTATTGACGTGGAAAAAGAATATAATTCAGAATCTACTCAGCATTTATGTTAAGACAATCGGTGGAAGTACTCTATGTATTGATGTGGACCCAAAATGTAAAGTATCCTACATCAAGAAACTGGTTGCACCCCAATTGGGACTAGAACCTAACGAAATGAAAGTTATATTTGCCGGAAAGGAGTTAGGTGATGACATTGTTATAGGTATGTAAAATATACATTGTGTTCATTTAGAATTCCGATCTTGAAATAAGGCTTGTTTTGAAAAAAATTTGAAAATGTATCTGAAATGTTTCTTAATATCTCTTCAGTCGTATTGTCGCTTTTCGATAGAACTTCTCGATAACTATCTTTCACCGATTAGGTTTTGTCAGATATGCGTAATCTCGAAAGGACTAGAAGCAAAAAATTAGGAAAGATACTACTTATAGTTATAGTAGGAAACGGTCGAAAGCAAATTATGCCACCAAAATACCTGGCATTAATGCAAATTTAACCAACTTGCTTACAAGAAAATTAATTTCTATTGAGATATAAATGATACGGAAACAATCGGTTGATATCTGAATAGTCATTGGGATAATTTTGATAGCACGTCTCAAAAAATTCAAAGTTAGAAGAAAAATGTGAATGAATCATCTTTTCTAATCATCTAAATCAATCTTTTACCATGACGATAAAGATTTCTAGAGCACTTCGTAAAAAATAATTAGTTTTGCGGGTTTGCCTATCGGCCAGATTTGACCAGCTTTTATTGCAATTCATGCTCTCAGCGTGCGAAAAAAACACGTCAGATAGTTAATTTTAATCAAATTCAAAGCCATTAAATTTACAGCGTTGATCAAGACATTTTTATTGTGCCTATTCGATTTGGTCAAGTGGTAAATTTTTGAGAGCTTTGATTTTGCTTATGGAAAACTGGCTTGTATACTCGGCATACAATAGGATTGCGGACTTGTTTCTTTCATCTGCATTTTTGTGATGCAAATATATTAATAAAACCGTTGTTTTTTGCGTTTATCGTTATATATAACTAAGCACTTTTCAGTTCATCAAAATCTGACCACTGACATGGATTAAACAACTGAATTATCTGATAGAGCTCCATTATTATTAAATTAATTAACGCTTTTTTATTGCTTTATAATTAATTTTTTATGGTGTATTATATATATTACAAACTTGTCTTTAGTTCTACACCAATAACACATTTTTCTAAAGAAGATCAGAATTCTAAATCATATTCCAACTATTTATTGCTACTTGAAATATATATGAACATCATACTTTATAGAGGAATGCGATTTAGGACAACAAAGCATTTTACATGTCGTAAAAATCAAACGCTGTTCGGACCAAAAAAATAACATTTCCTCTAGAGGGGAAAAATGTTTCACTACCAGTACCCCAAATTTGAAAAATGGTGGTTTGTTGCCATTGTGTGAGATATTAGATGATTCAATGTTTTCCACTGGTTCCGAAAGTAGAACGAATTCAATTTCGGTTGACGCTTCTGATATGGACAACTCAAGCGCTGATATAAAGGAGACGGAAATAAGTGAAGATCACAGGCAAAGGCCAAAAAAGGTACATTTTTTCGTATACTGCCCGACTTGCAAAGATATGAAAAATGGTTAGTAGTAACATGTTTTTTTGAAATTCAATAGTCGCAAATCAAATTTTGCAGGAAAGCTGAGAGTCAGATGTCACTTTTGCAAAAGTGGGGCCTTTACAGTACACTCAGATCCACAATCCTGGACCCATGTATTAGAGCCGAAACAGATTACCGGAACATGTGAAAATGTTCCAGAACATTGCGAGCTCCTATTACAAAACAAAGAACCTACTTTCGCTGAGTTTTATTTTAAATGCTCAGAGCATGTATCTTTAGGTACAAACATTTTTTGTGAAATATATTGATAAAAATTTAAATATTGTGCGTTTCAAGGCGAAAATGACCAAGCAGTTCCATTAGATCTAATTCGTCCTAATCTGAAACAAGTACCATGTTTGGCTTGTCTAGAAGCGCCAGAAATAATGTTTACATTTCCCTGCCAAAATGATCATATTGCCTGCTTATACTGCTTCAAACAGTACTGCATGTCTAAACTGACCGAACGGCAATTCTGGCAACATCCCGAGTAAGAAATGAAAGTGTAACAGCTGCAATTGCAGGCCTTTAGATGCAGATTTTTAGATATGGATACACTTTGATTTGCCCAAATGGTTGTGCAGATTCATTTATTAAAGAAATTCATCATTTTAGATTACTAGACGATGTAAATTACGAGAGGTTTGTTATCTATTGGTTATTGATCTGATGGATTTTGTGTATTGAACGTTTTTTTCAGATATCACCGATTTGCCACAGAAGAATTTGTGCTGCAGGCTGGTGGCATTTTATGTCCTCAGCCGGGTTGTGGAATGGGAATATTAGGTAACATAAAATTTTAGTTAGTTAGGAGCAATTGTAACTGATCGCATTGTTGCAGCTGACCCTGATTGTATAAGAATAACTTGCCAAAGTTGCAAATACGTTTTTTGTCGTAACTGTCGCCAAGGGTTCCACATTGGTGAATGTGACACAGTAGAAACTCCCGAAAATGGACTCTTAAATGGTAACTGTAATAATGAACTAAGCTGTGACAATGAAAGTAAAGGAGATGATGCATCGAGAACCACCATTAAGGTAAAACTACTTAATTAGCAAGTACTTAAATGTGCAGTGTAATAAAGTCATCAACTAGTTGTAAAGAGACGGAGAAAATCAGAAAAAACTTGCGGTTTAGCCCAATATTAACTGGCATGAAGTTTTCTCTCAATAGAATTTGCCTAGACTCCACATTATTTCCCGTCTTTAAATTGTGTAAACACTAGATATTAAAGAAATATGAACAAAATTTGCCAATTTGATTTTTATTCATTCGGAATAATGAATATTTTTGCCCAATTTTATATTACGTGTCGCAAATAAGAAGTATGTTTTTTAAGTGTCTTAAAATTGCCCCATTTTCCGGCTTTATAACTCTGACTATTATTATTGATACCTCCGGAATATTTTAGTAATGTAGAAATAGTTTCTACTCAGTACAACTATAGAGCATGAATTAATTTTTTAACATATCTTAGGTAATTACGAAACCATGTCCAAGTTGCAAAACACCAACCGAACGAGATGGTGGATGCATGCACATGATATGCACTAGATCAGGCTGTAAATTTCACTGGTGCTGGGTTTGTCAGATGGAATGGACTAGGGAATGCATGGCCGATCATTGGTTTTGATAATCCATTATTTTTCAGTAGTATCGTCATAGTACTTTCAGTTTTTTTAAACCATTGTTTTTTAATTTATTTTCCATTTTACAATTGTTTATGTTTCAGAAAGTTGGGTTGTTAATTAAAGGCGCTTTATAAATGTCTTCAAATGTATTATTACGATTATTTAGGAACATAAAAATGGTGGAAGGTGGAAGTCAATTGATTGAGCGATTATATTTTTGAAGTATGTATTATATTACATAATAATCAACATAAATGCAATATTTTTTGTAAAAAGGGGTTTTAAAAATACAAAAATACAATTAGATCTTAATTTGAATCTTTGTTCCTAGAAATTTTATATTAAATATACACTGTATAGAATGTTATTAAAGCAAACAGCCAAACTTCAGTACCTTGTAACAAGTTTATGCGAGCATTTCTCCGAAATGCAATTGTTTAGTCAAAAATAATTTTCATCTGCGCAGAAAAATTCAATAGGTAAATAAATGACTTTCGTTTAATTGTTGGTATTGGTGCTTGTTTTAATTATTCATTGTGTTACCGCAGGGACATGAAGCAAAGCAGTTTTCATTTTTTTTTATCTCTAAAACGATGCGAAAAAAGTTAAAACATGGGGAACAAGTTTGTCAAAAATGTTAATAAGAGTGTCCCCTGGGACACCACGAGGCGTAATAAATTTAGTCTAATTAGGGCAAAATTATTGATGATGTAGTAACATATAAAACAAATCATTTTATACGAATTCACTTCGCTGACTTAAAAATGTTCTTTCATAAAAATCTCAGTTTCATAAACTTTAAATTGTAAAAATCCATTAATCGCAAATCTTGCACCTGAAAAATGTCAACAATTAATTCAGATTATCGCACTTTCAATTATTGGAAGTCAAAGTAATTTAATCAGTCATTAAATAAATATGTTTATCGATAGATTAAAAACAATCCGGTTTAGTAGCACATTGGGATTAAGCAATAAATTAAAATAGATATGGCGTAAAATATATTCGGGAATATAATGGTTGTCCATCACAAATAAACAATTTCAATATATTTTTTAAATTCTTAAAGTCGAATGTTTATTTGAAACAACTAATTTTCATATTGCATGCATTTAGATATTAATAGCACAGATACAAATTTGTATCTTATCGCAGGTAGAACATTCATTAGTAGGTAGAATATTTATTCTGTTGTTTATAGCAAAGAACCGGCTCATCATAATCGGCACGATCACAATTTACTTTGTTAAATGAGCGGAACAAATTTGAGTTGCAAACAGTCACTTCTGTGATTTCCCCTGATTTTTTTTGTTTAATATGGCAACGTATTTTATAGTTGCGAATTGAAACAGTGTTGCCTAATTTATTATTTAGTTTTTAAATATATTTTGTTTTCAGTAAAAATAAAATTGAAAAACAAATCTTTAAACAATGCTCTAAACGCCTCCCTGCATTAGACTTGTATAGCACTTGTAATATTTTTCTGTTATGATGATTGAATAGATCAAGTGTGTATATTATAGAATACTCAGGATGTACTTACACTCTTTTGTATGTGCCCACAGGGTCTAACGCTTTTACTAGTTTTGCTAGTTTGCTTCCCCAATAAAATAAATATACCACGCACCCTATCAAAATTAAAAGTACTCCGATTATGACACATTCTATGATCAGTGAGGCACCAATCTAAAATCAATGTAAGTCAATACAAATTATTTAATATCCTAGAAAGGGAACACTTACATGAGTAGATGTTCCCCGTAATACTCCTAAAGAACAATTACAATTGCAACCAGTGGTTTCAGCGGTCTTTAGATCCATTTTTTCAATAAATCGTTTATACGGGTTAAAATCCGAACTATTGATCGAATTTTAAGGAACGGATATCTCTTTAAATCGTTTACAAAGCGAACTGAACGCACAAAAAATGTTATTTAGATAAATCTGTGTTTTGTCTGCATATCTCGACTGTTTAAAGATTAGATTATAGATTGTGTCAACTATTATCTTGACGTAGATACTTTCATAAGTATTTGAACATTTTTTTCAGTTAGGTAATCATTAATTTGATTTACGCACACGAAGCCAATAGATATATCGTATTTATCACAAGAGCAAATCTGTCTTTAAGGGCGCTAGTCTGTGAGTGGTTCGAGGAGAAACGGTACTATAAATATAGGTCCACCAGTGCGACTGGATAATGTTAAAGTGCGGAATTTATGGGCGTTGACAAAATGTTTGAAATATTAACTGGCAGTGAATATTCAATCATTAGATGTTTGGTCAGAAGTCATAAGAATTGAGCCTTAGATATACGGTCTAAGAGTCATAAGTCATAGGTTCGGTTACAAGTTAAATCTGTATTGTTTGTATTAATTTGGAAATAAATTGTTTTTAAAAAGCAAGCTTTCAAATTAATCAATAAAATTGTGCATGCAGCGTACAAACATTGATATAAAAACAGTCAAAAAATCAATTTTTTCTCAATGGCACGTACAAACTTTTTGTCCTATTTGAAAAATTTGTCATGATTAAACAATAAGAAACTTGGGGTATTGATTTTTGAGATCGTACTAGTGATAGCTTAGAGATTCATAGGTGAATAATTGTTCCAGATTCATCAGGTTGTTTTCAACAGCAAAGAGCAAAGATTTGTTACTGTATATTTTGCAGTAATTTCCTATTTTTTTTTGTAAAATCAGCCCCAAATTAAGATTCCATAACTTATTATGCTATGGAAAAAAGCGTAATAGATCATTCTCATTGAATTGGTCGTCGTTGCTTTTGAAATCTTATAAAAAATGTAGATAAGGTATTTTGTTTTTATCATGTGTTCAATGTGTTTGTCCCACCTCAGGTTACTATAAAAAAAAATTTCCTAAATATTTGCAATATTCTACCCTAGTTGTTTGTTTCTTCTTTAAAAAATGCTTATGTGTTTTGGGTCATATTGGTTTATGTTGCGTGTAATTTTCCGATATCGCCACAACCGTTTGTCATGGTGTACAAATCACTACCAGCGATCCGGATTTTAAAATGTTAACAGGCAATATTCCAATTTTGTCCAGTTTACAACGGAATCCGGATTCCTATTGGTTCGGTTTAGCAAGTCCATTGTGTTACAGTTTTTTTGTGAGATTTGTTATTTTTACTAATTTTTGGTGTGTTCTACAGCCAACATCACTCACTATACTGTATACTGTGAGCTTTTATTGTTTTGATATATTGGGAGGAAATCTCAATGATATCACTCTTCACAAAGTCTACGCTACTCAAATATGTTCGTTTATTTTTTCACAAACTTCAAATGTTTAAGTTTTCCACTAAAAATGACAAAAACATTAAAAAAACACTGTGTCGATTAATCAACGATTAACAATTTACTATTCATGCAACTGTCATTATCATAATTGACCATATATAAAATCGTCTAAGTACATATATACAAACTAAATCAATGTCTCATTTTGTGAGGGAAACATACATTCCAATTAGTAGGTATACTAGTTCGATAATACTAAATACAAAAATATTTTTAATGTTAAATCTCTAACTTTATGGGATAACGTTAACTTCTAACAAATTGCATTAAATGTTTCCTTTAATTTATATAGATCTATTGTCTCGTCCTACTAATGTTAACTGCGAGCGTCGTTTATTGTAGCAGGTACATTTACTTCCAGCCCAGCTAACTCCTCTGTTAGAACGATTTGACAACCCAGACGAGATGTATCACACAAATCATAGGCTAAATCCAACATGTCCAATTCCTCATCAGAAGGTTTGTTTGGTAATGAATCGTATGTGCTCTTAGACAATATTAAGTGACAAGTTGAGCAAGTAAGAGTTCCTGAAGTAAAATGTTATTTTGAGAACATTAAACACAGCACAATATATGGGTAGAACTGCTTGACCTTTCAGAAGAAATATGATAGCGCAGGAAAAATATATTCGAGTACGCAACAAACATGATCAAACGCTTTACCAACAAACACAAAAAAAATTGTATATCATCTATTTTTATTATTCATTTTATTTATGCATATTTATGTGTATATACAAAATGTCCTAAAATATCATGCCAGATAATAGGCTGGAAAGCAGACATCAAAATGATGTAAATTTTTTAGAAATAGTATATAGAAGCGCTCTAAATCGCTTCCTTACATCAAAGTTAGCTAATATACAACTTGATTAAGACCTCGAGACATGTTTCAAATTATGCAAAATAGTATAAAACAAAAAATATGTAACTTTAAAAGTTTACTTTCTGAGTTTTTGGGCCTTTTAGGTAGGCGTGGAATTTTTCTTCCTGACGTTTCGTAAGCCTGAGCTTCCTACACTCACCAGTAGTGAGCTCGAAAACTCAATTTTCAAAATTCAATTTATTATTTTGGAAACCATTCCTACAGAAAATCGTATGTTATTTTGCAAAGTATGTCTTTTTTGAAACAAAATTAATTTTAATAGGAACATGAACGAGAAAATATCAGAAAATCTAATCTAACCTTCCTGTCTATTATCTGCAAATTATCTTTCAGGGCACTATAAATTACAACTTTTTGCCACTAAAAGCATATACGTTAAATATAGTGCTTTAAAGACATTTAAAAAGCGTATTGGCGCAAAGGCTATTAAACTTTATTTTGTGTGTGTTAATTCTAAACAAATATAAGTCGCAGTTTTAATTGAGCTTAAAGTTACTCATCAGAAAGAAAATGAAGCTTTTTGAAAAATACCTTAGAACTTGTTACAAGTCTGTATCCATGTATTATCAAATTGCACCACAATTCAAAGTATCCACTAAAAGTAAATTAGGTTGTTTCAAAGAATTTGAATAGTCAAATTAGTTAATTGCTAGTATAGAAACCCGTTAAAAACTACAGCAAACCTTTCCTTGGGCAAAAATATTCGTTCCAATACGCTCACTACCAACATGCATACATGCAAAAATTATGCTAAAAACTGTTGCATATTTAAACAAGAATTTAAAAGTTGTCGGTCTTCTTTGCTTCGAAATTGAATAGCAACTATTCTTCACTTGTCCCAAGCGAATGAACTCTGTTGTTTGAATGAAAACATGAGTCTTACATGGGACCACATTTATAGCAAATTTGCAAATCTACATACGTAGTTAATATTTGAAATAACTGCTTTTGTTCTTACAAGGTCTTACCTTCACAAGCTCCGAATCCATCTAAATCTATGTTGTTATTGACTACAACATCTAAGAGCGAATCTCCTATTTTGCCCTTCGTTTGGATCTTCTCACCGTTTGCTTTTATAAACGTGACTTGAACTCTGAAAATTAAATTTTTGTTTAACGATTTTTGATGAATATGCACGGTGGCCATTCTCCTTACGCATGTATTACTAATTTACATAGTAATAGTTCAATCTAGTAAAGCGAATTCCGATCAATTATCAATATGGTTTTTATAGGTTCAAATTTAAGTGATCCAGGTTGGTGACCCCGCCCCCATTTCGGTTCAAACTTTACTACCAAAAAGTCAAGGGGAAAAACCGCATAACACTTTCTTTGCATTCACAAACCCAGTCATTCTTTAAATGAATGTAATGAATTTACCTGTATAACTTTTGCCTCTACTTGCAACAGATTGTTCAATAATACTTTCTGGCAGTGGTCTAATCTTGTTAATTATATAAGTTTTTGGCAAAAATATTTAAAAAATCTATTTACATTAAGCACAAGCACAGTAATTTTACAACAGTTAATTATTAACCCATTGCCAATACTTATTAGTGTTTTTAGACCAATTTGCCGCGCGGTGAACCAAAGTAGCGTTAAAAACTCTATACCGACAAACAACCGATAGGAATTTGCTAGTTAATAACGCGGTTGGTGTATTGTTTTATTAGATCTTCCTCCCTCAAAATTTGATTCCGACCGACAACCGATACTAATCTATATAGTATGCATACATCAGCCCAAGGAAAAAATATGGATGATGGATGCGAAATATCAAAACGCCGGATTATAAATATGATATCGGCATTTTATAGGTGACAAAATATTGCTATAAGAAGCTAAACAATGCTTTTCGATTACTTCTTCAAATAGGGTGCAGAATTTTTTTTTAACGTTTCCCCCAACACCGGTTTTTTTCGAATTTGTTGGTAGAGGGAGAGTTTTCCACTTTTTAAAACATTTGACAAAGCTCAACAATGACCCAATTAATCTTAAATTAAGCGTCCACGCATCTCTTAGGGTTTAAGAAATTCTAATGTATTTTTGAATATCCAACACGAAAATTTTTCCGTTTTCGGTGAAATAAGCAACATAGGCTTTTCCCTGCGAGTCAACATTGGCCCGGCAATCCCAAATAAAAAGTCTTCTACCATTCCGTCATCAAGCAACTGCAATTGCAAGTAATACTACTATCAGTGAGATCAAGAGTCAGACTAGCCCTCAATTCTAAGATCTGCTGGTAGTTTGCCCCGAAAAAGCAGAGATTTCGCATCAATAGATTTCAACGATGAGACCTCCTTCATATGCCCAAAACCGCAACTTATTTATAAGAGGAATTTACTCTTTTTAGGCCCTTTTCTATGAAAATACTAGATTCAATTAAAATACTCATTTTAATTTTATTTGCTCGTGTGTAAAACGTGCTGGATCTTAGGATATTGCAGAGCGGCAAAATACACTGAAATAGGAAACATGCTGTTGAATGCAATTGAACCAAACCAAGTGGCAAAGTATATCTAGCCTGTATGCAACAGGCAATTCCTCAAAGTGCAAATTAATAGTCAAAAATACTGACACTAAAATACTAATGACTAGAAAACATGAAGATGATACTGCCCAAATTGCAAACCCTGAGAGGCCCAGAAGAAAACTTATCAATCATATAAAGTAATGTCTAACTGCGTCAATATAAGAAAATAGATGATTTTACAAAAGGTATGGAAAATTCGTTAGCTTCAATATGCAAAAGTACCTCGAAACTTACTCTTTTTTGCTTAACACTGGTTCGCTTTCTGGCCGATTTACAGAAAACAGTCTTGAGCTGTTCCTGAGATAGTGACGGTAAGAAGTAACATATTTGGTAAGTGTTCCAGCCCATTTCAATCCATTAAAAGTCATTGTATTTACACCTAGAAAAAATATCATTTGAGTACTCCTTGAGTGTGATCCGCCTACAATGTGTACTTTCGCATTAAATATGTTTAGAAACATAAAATTGCTTTTTTTATATTAATGTTCCATTTTTGATAATATAAGTACTCTTGCTAGTTCAGTTTAAGCTACTACATATCACAGAGAGCTAAAAATCAAACCTCCCAAAGATTTAAAAGGTGAAGTTGCAATTTTAAACTTATGTAAGTACATGTTCTGTTTTTTTGAAAATTACAAAGTAAACTCACAAGTTTACATGCAGGCTAGCAGCAACATTAATTGCACTATACAGTGATATTGCCTTCAAATATCACTTTCTTCATCAATGAAGCAGGAAGACTGAGAATTTCTCCTTAAATATTTAAATGGGGTCAAAATTTCCCTATTAATTATTCTCGTCTTACATCACTCGATAGTATATGTTGTACACTTCGCCATTTAAAAACATTAGAACGTCATGAAGCACAAGGGTTAAAAACGACGTTGCCATACTTTCTCTTCATATTATTTCGGCAAGTCGTTAATATATTTATTTATATAAGTATTTAGAGAATCGTGTAAGCATGTCAAGGTAAAGTATCGAGACACAATGTTTCATTCACTTTAAATAATAGATTATTATTATTACACAAGGTTTTGTCTGCGCAAGTCTGTCTCTGTTCAGAGGTGTTCTGTGGCGCAAGCACATAAAAAGTTATACATATGTATATCCATGTGTATATCCCATGTGTATATCGTTTTGCCTCTATAGGACGTCAAAGTTCTCAAATTAATATCGTTTTTTCCAATAATTTCTAATCCCTTATAACGATTATCGCTAATTTTACTTCCAACTAGCAAAACTAATTATTAAAGAACAAAAGTCCCAAAAGTTCACATTAAAGACAAAAAA